ATCGTACGCTTTCATGCGCCGGCCGGTGTCTGACGTCACGTGTCATCAGTTAGAAAGGAGCCAAGGAGAACTGCATTTCTGGGGGCCGGGCATAACTGCATTTATTAGCTTCCGAAGGACGGGCGGCCGAAGAAAGTGCCGCGCGCCGATCCGTCCCGCGATCTCGGATCCTTTCGAGGATGACGCGGCGCTTAATTTTATCCCGGCAGGATACCGGACATCCCGGCTCCGTCGGGATTCCGCTTTTAGAAAACAGCGTAGAGCGATCTCGGCCGAGTACGAGTCCGACGACGCCTCTCCTCGCCGTGTTTGGATCGCGCTGTTCTCCTAGCCTTCTCGGTGAACGAACGCGTAGATATCGATATCGGAACTCGACGAGGTACGCGTATTTGGAATGAACGGACCGCGGATTTCTATGCGAAATAAAAATTGCTCGCGCTAATTGCAGCCCACAGAAGCTGCGTAGACTTTTCTTCGTTTCTTAATCGTTTTAAGGGGTCGAAAATGATACAAAAGTATTTTCGAAACTTCAAGTTTCGTCACCGTTTCCGTATTTGGCCTAATTCTTTTCCTCGCGAACGCGTAAAATCCGCTAAGGCTAATTGCGAAACGCCGCTCGATCGCCACCCCTTCTTGAGATAACAGCGCGAACGATCCAAGAAAATATCGGAGCACGCGTATGCGAGAACGACCATAACCATATTCTTGAACATTGTTCTTCAGAGATTCCTACGATTTTAACAAATTTGTTCTATTGCAATCTTTTCTCGCGGAAGCGCATCGCGCGAAACGCGGTCGCTGCGACTGTCCGAACCGATAATTACGCGATGGCGTGCAATCGTGCAGCGTTCGATGCAATTCCCGCGGAAGAGTAGAGTCGAACGCGACTCGGGTGCTCGGGAGACGGGGCACAAATTTCACGAGTGCACGCGTAGTGACCGTTGCACGCGGTCTGCGGTCGCGGCGCGGAACGAGCCGAAGAAACTTGTTCGATCGATCGTTCCTTCGCGCCTCGTTTCTATTCGTACGTGTCGGACCGCGTCGACGAACAGTTATCCAGAAAGCGTTAATATCCGAGGAAAAGACCGGGAGGGCGTTCGGAGCCGCGCGTCGACGATCGTCGGTCGTCGTAACGCTGGATCACCGGCCGCCGTCTTGGCTAACGGAACACATGTTCGCCGGCATCGCGGCGTTTGCCGATGCAACGCACGGGGCCCACGGACCGATACCATTCGCGGGAAACTCGCTTGCTCTTCTCGCTTACGTATGCCGGCGAACGATAGATTATGGTCAATCGCGTGCAGAATGCGGCAACGGCTGCGCCTCGAAGATTGAAACCGCACCGCGGGGAAAGAAGAAGAGTGCCTCGTAAACCCCGCAGCTTCGGTTCCACGGAGCAGCAGGAATTGGCCCGACGGTTTTCAAGACGATCCCACCGTACAGGATTTTCCGCGGAACGATCGATCGTCGACCGGCCGCCGGAGATCGCTCTCCATTTTTCTCGCCGTTTCCGGATGGCTTATACGGTAACTTCTCCCCGATCTTTCTCCGTCTTGTGAACAAAGACGGACAATTTGGGAGAATAAAAGAACGAGGTGAAAGGCTCGAATAATCGTATCTGTGCTTCTAAAATTGTGCACTTTTGTTCACAAGCTGAAGGAAAATTAGGGAGAATTTACTGTTATCGGTCCGCTCTTATTTATACTACAGTAAATTCACCGAAATGCCGGCAACTATAAAAACGAATCGCAGTACAGTAATGTCTCCCTTATTGACGCTTAGATTGTGCACAGAAATGGACAAATTGGAAAGTGGAGATACGATTAATTTGAGTCTCGCGCCTCGTTTTTATAATTACCGATTCTCAACAACTATAAAAATGAGGCGCAAGGCTCGAATAATCGTGTCTCCTCTTCCCAAATCGTCCATTTTAGTGGACAATCCGAGCGTCAGTATGGGAGACATTACTGTACTCGAATAATCTGATCTCCTATTCTCAAATTGTCCATTTTCGTGTCCAAGCCGAGAGACGATTCGAGAGAATTTACTGTAAATTATATATCGGGAGGTTTTTTCTCACTCTGAATTTCTGTCATACGCTGATAACCTTAAATCTGCGCAGAATGTTGCCGATGCCACAACACTTTTGCAACATGATCCCGACAGTCCCTCCACTCGGTGCACTTTTAATAAAACGAACCTCAATTTGTCCACGTGTCATGCCGTACACGTTTCCTCGCGCGGCTTCTCTTAATTTCCAACCAGCGTCGCCGCATACTAGACTCTTTTCGCCGTTCGTCCAGCTCTTTTAAAATCTCTGTTATCATCGCGATTCGACCTTCCTCCTCTCGATAAGCCCTCTCGATCGCTTGCTTTATCTTCTTTTGTATCTTCTATTGTATCTTATCATTCGCTGTATCGTCTCTCTTTTCTTTTTTCTTCGCCCACTCCTTTTATTTTGCTATTTCTGCGACACAGCGTCGAACCGTTTTAGCACAAAGGCTTGTTTCCATTGATCACAAATAAATATTACTATCATTATTATTATAATATTAGCAACGGTCAGGAAAGACGTGGCTCGAGACCGTTTATTTTGAACCGTTGGAGTATCGGAATTTCTCCGAGGACCCTTCGCGCCGCCGTGCTCTCGTCGCCCTCGAAAAAATAATCTTTTTGGGCACGCGGCAAGCGAACCAGCAACGTCGAGGGTCGACCTTGCACTGGCCTCGCTCGATCTTGTACGAAAGAGGATAGGAAAAAAAGCGCACTCGCGAGCGATCGAGCGCGCGCGCACGAGAACGTGCACACAGAGAGGCGCACCGTCTCCTCGAGAGATGTTACGGTCCTCGAGAATCCTGTTACACCGGTATTTCCTTGCTGCACCGGGATAATCTCTATAAGACGTTCTTTTGTCGTCGTCGTCGTCCTCTCTCTTTGTCGAAGCTAGCTTTCCAATTACGCGCGGCGGAACGCTTGAAAAAGATGCTTGCCCGGCATAATTGCCGTCCACCGGTCGCGGCTTTAATCGATCGGCTCGCGACCGAGGCCCTCCGCCGGGCTTCGGGACCGACGGATGATCTTGCTCGGGCCGGTCTCGCGATTCGCGAACCGAATCCGCCGATTCGCGGGAGCCGCCCTTTCGATCCGGGAAAACGGAGAGGTATCGTTTGCTGCGCGACCGCAAACTGCCGTCTTTCCCTTCTATTTCTCGGTGGCAGGCCGGTCGGGGGCCGGTCGGGGGGCCGGCTCTCCGAGGCGTTCGATCGAATTGCTCGAAACGCGACACCGAGACCACTTTCTAGCATCTCGGCGCGTCTCCGGTTGCCTACGGGACTCCGAGGTTGGGGTTGAGCGAAGCTCCTCTCGGTGAAAACTGGTCTCCCCGCCGTCGGAGAGCCCGAGGAGAGCCGGGGCCCTATCGCATTCTCACCGCGTGCGCGCGAGTCGATGTCAATCTCAAGGCTTCGAGGCGCAGTCTGCTTAAACAGCACCGGAGAACTGCTGCTTCTGCTTGCCAGGAGAGCTGACGCGGTACCGAAACGGTGCCCGATAACTCCCTCCCTCCCCATCTTTGTATTCTCGCCACGAGAACGTCAACCAGATCGGCTCTTCGCCCTTCCCGAAATTCTGCGTCCATCAATCTTCGAGAGTCCCTGGAATCGTCGTTCTCGTAGTCGTCGTCGTCGTTGTCGTCGCTTCGTACAACTTCGGTTCACCGAGTCGAGGCAAATTCAATTACGAAGCTGAATGGCCTACTAAGTGCCAACTCCGGCGACGACCCAGTGCGCAAGAATTTTTTTAGATTATCGATTTACGAAGTAACCTTCTAAGTTGCTCGCTCGAAGATAATACGGCCAAGGAATGCGGGGCACAGCCGAACGGGGACTCGTTTAGATTTTCAAAGCGGCGCGAGCGAGACCGACGTGAGAAGCAGCGACGAGTACGCGCGGGACACCGTGTAGATTCGGTGGCATTCCTTCACGGGCGACTTTAAGCCTCATATGGTATTCCACGACGCGCTTTCCTAGATACCCGCGACGCATAAGACGATTCTGTTCCCTCGCCTTTCTCTTTCTCTTTCTCCTTCTCCATCGCCTCCACCGCCCGCTTTTGCTCGTCCTCGGTCGCTTTTTCTCGCGCTGGACCAATTGACCCTCGCCAGCCGAAACTAGTCCGACCCGGAGCCCCGAGGATGATGGATTAACCTTTAATCGCGCTCTCTTAGAGACCACCGCCGTGGTCCACTCGACGCGGAAAGATTCGACCGCGGCTGGAGGCTGCCCGAGGGACTCCACTTGAAAGCGAGCCTCTCCTCCCAACCTCCCAATCAGAGTCCTATAAATCTCGGGTGATCGATAACCTTCTCGGGATGAACCCGAACGGAACCCGACCTCGAGGGCTTTCCCGAAACCTGCGGTACCGGGCGAACGTGTTCGGGCGTCGTTCAAAAGGCGAGAACTTTTTTCAAACTAGAGCGACTTGAATTCTTTTTAGACGATGGCGCGACTAGTATTCTAGACGGTAACTAAATACGTTCTTCTTTTTTTTTTAACCCTCAAGTATCAAAAACCAGGACAAAACTGCGATCTTCGCGATCTTTAATTCTTTAGAAAATGCATTTCTTAAATCTTTGTCACAGGCTCGGATAAAAACGTTGGAAAACACGAGCTTCTTACTTCTATGTCGTTCCAAGTAATATCAAGATCTAAAAAAGAGCATTTTACCTAAATCTAAAAAAAGTAAAGTAATCTAAAAAAAGATCTCAGTCGTTCAATTTCAAGAAAGATACCGCATTTTAAAGGGTGCTCGAACAGATTTGTCCGGCACTGTGCGTCGTGCTCCCGCTTTCGAAACGACCGGCGGATTTTCGAGAGCATCCGGGGGTTTCCTAGCGGAGGCCGGGGCACTAGGCCCTAAAGTCCTTAGGGAGATTATGGCCGGCGAGAAAGTCGGAGCGTCGATCGAAAGAGGGTAGGTGTCAGGGATAGCGGGAAACTCACCGAGGGGGTGGTGCTCCTGTTTGTCCCGGGCCTGGTATGCGGAAGGGACGTGCTCTTAGGGTTGGTAGAACCGTTCCCGGAGGGAGGAGGTGGTCTTTGGCTCTCCCTTCTGGAGGGCGGCGGCGGCGGCGGCGGATGCGACAGAGGCCTGGCCGTGTTCCTGGGATGCTGCGCCCCTTGAAATTGCCCCCAGGGCTGGCGTGGCACGTAGCCGACGTAACCGCCGGAAACGAATTGCGCGGAGCCGTTTAGGTGCGGCGGTGCCATTACCGCCGTCTGCTGCGGCTGACCGCCGTTTCGCATTTTTGCCGGCGCGCGATTCGCGCGATTCACGCGTCCCCGTGAAATCCGGGCAAGGCGCCGATCCTCGCTGGGTCAACGTTCCGCTGCGATGCCCTGTGATGCGCCTCTTCCCCGCCCCCGGCGAGCATTTGGGGATGATTTCGTTCCGCGAGCACTGGTCGCTTCTTCTCGCAGCTCACCTCTTCGAGTTCAGCCCCCCGCTGCCCCTCTCTGCATCGCGGTTTTCTCGCTTCCGCTGGCACGATTCGACTTTCGCCCACAAATTAGCCTCTCCGCTCGTCCACGGGGTGCGAGGTGTCCCTACGATCGACTCCCATGAAAACTTGGCACCCCGCGCGCGACGCGGCCACGCAGTTCCGAACCAATTTCTAAAGTTTCGAAGCGTATGTCGCGCTCCAGATTTTAGAAGATACGGTAATGTCTCTCTAATTGACGCAGAAATTATCCACAAAAATGGACAATTTAAGAAGAGAAGATACGATTACTCGTGCCTCGCGACTCATTTTTATAGCTACGAATTGTCAACGACTATAAAAACGAGCTTCAAGACTTGAATAACCGAGTCTACTCTTCCCAAATGGTCCATTTTTCTGCACAATCCGAGCGTCAGTTAGAAAGACATTATCGTAGTTCGGAACTCGGCGTTGTAGCGGATTTTTGTACGTTGTTTAAAGCGGAAAGCGGCGTGGCGTCGAGCACCGAATTAGTAGTCGCAGCCTCGAGGAGCCGCGCCCGTCGAAGATGAAGAGATCAACGCCGCCGTTCGCGGCGCTAATAAAATTCGTTCCGCGGCATATCCCCGGACAACCTGACGGCGGGCGAAAGATTAACGAGCGCGTGGGTGTCCCGGCCGTCGCGGGCCGCACAATTCGCAGAAGCTGCCGCGCGATTTTCATCGAAACGCTCGCGGTTTCCGCGGTGGCCCGGCCAGCCAGCCTCGGCGAACCGACCTCTGCGAGCTATCGGGTGCCCGTGCGTCCAATTTCTACGAGAGCCTGTCCTTACGCGATCGATCTCGTTCCCGGCTGACCCGGATTGTCGTCGATATCGGCGCGCCTATTTTTACCGTAGCGAAACGCCGCGCCGCGCGGCGCGCCGTGCTCGCATTTTCTACGCGGAGGATTATTCGTCTCTCGCGCGCCGATCGGCCATCTCCGATGCTCCGCCTCGGAACAATGTCTCGCGATTCAAGGTTTCGTCGCGACACGGAAATCGAGGAGAGCCGACCGCGGCGTTTCGAGGCCGACCAGCGCAACAACCGTCGCCGCGACTTTGAATCGTTCCCTGAAACCGGAGGGCCTCTCGAGCCGTTGCGGAACACCGGTCTCGCCTTTCGGGCGGCCGAGAAAGAGGAAAATTGAGGCTATCCACTCGGAAAGCCGGCCGCCGTCCCATCGAATCGCTCTTTCTCGCCTCTCGCTCGAGACCGGCGCCCTTTGGTCCCCGGTTCCCGACGCCGTGGAACCACCGGACCGTTCGCGGAACCATTGTCCCCTTTGCCGCCCGCGAGTAACCGAGAGGGGAGTAGTCGAGACAAAAGAAAGAAAGGGGAGACTCTCGCTCTCGCGGAAGAGCCCGCGGAATCGCGTCCGCTCGAGAGAAAGAGAGAGAGAGAGAGGCAGCCTCGAGCCGAAACGGCGCGCGATGGCGCTGTAAACTCACGGATCATCGATCGTAAAATCGTGGAAAGTTACGCGGGGATTTTACGTCGACGACGCGGCTTCGGGCTACCGGTTTCGAGATTTCCGTGGCCACGATGATGGAAAACGAGGCCGCGACTGTAATTTCGGCGCCGATCGCCGCGCTAGCCGAGGGATTTCCTGCCGGCCGATCGAACGCGGCGGCCGCAAAGTGGCCGGCGTTTAATTAAAACGGTGCAAGTTCAGTGCCAAGCACCGCCGCGGCCCGCCGAAATAAAAATAGGAACGCCGACGGAGATGATAATCTGGGTCAGCCGAGGGCAAGATTCGATGCAGGCGCGATCGGATTGGATTTCTGTTTGTGCTGGCACGTGAACGGAATATCGATCAGCGAGCGGACGCGGCATACTGGCCATGCCACGAGAGGTGCAGAGAGAGAGAGAGAGAGAGAGAGAGAGAGAGAGAGAGAGAAAGAGAGAGAGAGAGAGAGTCGACTAAAAGCACGGAAGCTTCTTTCATCGAACGGGTCAAGATCGGTATTCCGATCTACCGCGGATCATTTCGAGGAACTCGCAAAACCGTCGGTCCTCCCTTTTCCTGCGCCCGGGCGATTTAAATTCATTGGGCAAAGAGGTTTCGCCCTGATGAATATTCAGCGTAATGAGTCGACAGCGTTCTCGATCTATCAACGTCGCCGGCCGCCGATCTGCCTCGTAGATTGTCCGAGTAATGGTCCCGCGGCTGGCAAAGAGACTGGCCCGATCGGCAGATTGAAAATTGTTCGGCGAAGCGGAGGATAAAAAGGACGAAAAATCCTCGAAATACGGGGAGCCGAGGATACACGGGGAGGTTCGATCGAGGGGCATCGGATCGGGGGACCGGAGAGCGGGGCCGCCGACGGTCGATCGTGATCACGCAACCGATCGGTCACGCTCGAATAATTTCCAGGGTGGCAGCTTCCGGCGGAAGCGTGCGTAGAAGATCGAGTTCGCTGCACCATCGACGATCCGCCACGGCTCTAAATCACCGAGCCGAGGCGATTAACTCGGCCCTCCAGATAATCCTCGATCGAGAGGAGAGGAAGCGAGCGAGAGAAACAGAGAACGAGAGAGAGAGAGAGAGAGAGAGAGAGAGAGAGAGGCGGTCGCGGTTGCTGCGCTTTTCCACGATCGCCGATTCTCAAGCAATTTGTTCTAAATCCCGTTCCTTTTTTCAGCCGGTTTTTGCTGGGATCGCGTTTACGAAATGCCCCACCGTCTCCCCGCGTTCCTTTTGCCAGAAGATTAGCACCGGACTTTCTACTCGGTACAACCCGCGGCAGTGGAAACGACCACCACGGTCGGACAAGCTCACGGTGGACCTACAACTCTTAATTACTCGAGGCTCTCGGGAGTTACGTAAAGTATTCGAAACGTTATTAATTCCAGACGGCGGGACAAAGCGCGAGGCAAAGTTTCCGGCGCGGTGCGGTGCGGCGCGGCGACGAGAGGAAAGTTTTGCCGTTTAAGAAGCTGGAACCGCGGAACGAAGCAAGCAAAACAGTCTCCGAGGCGAGGCGCGAACCGATAAATTGAAAGTTTCAACGAATGCCCTCTGCTCCGCGCCGCTCGGCGCCTCGTCGCGCCGTCGTCTGCCAGTCGTTCGACCGGAACCGACTTTCAACTCCGCGCGAAACAACCCTCGAGGGGACCGGTTGTCGACGCTCGACGATAATCCGCGCTGCTCTAATTACTTTTGCATTGTTTCGCCGAGTTCGGCGACGTGCGGAAGAACTCTCGATTTCAAGCGTCTCGAAATTCGGTTTCGCCCGAGCTCGGATCCGGGGGACTTCGGATTAATCGTCCGAGGAGTTCGAGGAACTCGCGAAGAACTTGCCCGGTGCCTTCGGGAAGGACGTTTCGCGGAAGGAGACGAGGAAGAGGGGGACAGGAGGACGGCATTGTCGCCGATTTCTTTCGCGAACGAGCGCGTCGCACGTTCCTAGGTCGTCCGTTACTCGGAATAATTGGGCCTCGACGGGCTGCACGTGCGCCTCCAACGATGCACGCGCTTTCCTCTCTCTCTCTCCTCTCCGCGCCGCGTTGGCATTCGTCGGCCGGGCATTAATTGTTAATCGTGACGCGTAGGCGGATACGAAAGCGTGGCTTTATTAGGACACAACGCGCCGTGGGATCGGCCGTAGCCCTGCGCTCGCTGACTATTTACGGCGCGCGCATCGAATCGGGAAAGGAATCCCTCGTGGCGGGGCTCTCTCGGGTTCGTAGGAAAAGGCCCCGTCGACGACGGGCCCGTCGCTCCGCGAGAAAAGGAAAGCGGTCCGCGATCTTTTCGCAGCCGTCCCGCAACGGTGAAACCGTGCCCCGAATTCGCCGGTGTGGGACGATGGACTCGCGTTGATCCACGAGGGGCCAGCAAAAACTTCAAACGGAAACGTCGAGCGACTCGCGGCTAAGTAGATTCGGCCGTTAACGACCGGACGCGCGAAGCGTCTCGGAAGAAACGAGGCGCGGGAATCGCGAAACGTTCGGCCAATCAACGACACGGGAGAAAATGTGGTCAAATGTTGGCCGACCTGACCGAGTTGGCTTTTCTTTGCGCCACGAAAGTTTAGACTTTCGTTTAAACCCTCTCGGCCGATTTGCAAATCCTTTACCCCCAGCACGTGGGTGGTTACGGGGTGAAATAGGATCAATAGAAAATGATGAACACATGCGCGAGTCTTCTGCCCAATGCAATACAACAAATACTGTAAAGTTTTTCAGAATATTCTGTGGCAAGACCAATTCATCGAAAAATCCGGATGCTAATAAAAATGCTGATTTCTTAATAAAGCGGTCGCGGCACCGCATCCGTATTTTTATTCCAGCAATGCCTAGATAGAATAATTAGTTACCAATGCGCGTATTTCCAGACTTTTCGTAATAGGTGAGCATGGTCGGAAGGGTTAAAGACCGCTAAAAAAATCGGAAAAAAATGCACGGTCTAAACAAAACTCGGTTTGGTCAGCACGGGCACGTCGGATCATCGTGCTCGGCTGTACCCTCGTTCACCTAGCAACCGTCGGTGGCGGTTGCCGTGCCGAGAGCACTCGGTTTTAGCCGAGAAACGGGAATCGCTGGATTTCCCGAGTGGAGACATTAGGCGAACGCGTTTTGCGGTACAATGGAGGGCCGCTCGGAGTTAGAAGCGCGCGCCCCCGCGGCTCGCCTCTCTCCGAGAAGAAAAGAGCTGTCGCGGCGGGACAGAACGTTCGGTGGAAACGCCGGGAAAAATGCAAAAATAACGGAAAAATTCGTGCAAAGCGAGAGAGAGGTGCTCGTATCTCCGTCGGTGCGCGGCCGCGGCGTAATCCCCTTAATCGTTGCCGCACACGTACCGAGAGCCGGCTGCGGCTGTCGCGCACCAACCCGGCCAGAGAGAGAGAGAGAGAGAGAGAGAGAGAGAGAGAGAGAGAGAGAGAGAAATACCTTTCTAACGGAGAGCGAGAGAAACGAAACGAAACGAAACGAAGCGGACGGAATGGAGGCTCGGGCGAAACTCGGGCATTCTTTCGAACGGTGCCGCGAGTATTGTATGCAAGCTGTCCGCGGGCCGGGGAGGGGAAAATCGTTGGAAAAAATTAGCGACTTTCATTACGAGCCGCGCGCCGGCTGCGCCGAACGACGAGCGGCCGGAATTCGAGGCGTTTCGGCCTCCGCGAAATCGAGCAACATTTTTCTCGTTTCGTTCCGTCGTTCCGCTTCCATTCGTTTCGTTTCGTTTCGGGACTGGCGCGCGACCCGACGCAGCTGGCACGCGCTCCGAACTTCCCATATTACGACGCGATAACTTCTTGTGTAACTTTTGAACGGGGGAACGCGGCGCGCGGTGTAACGGGATCCGCGCGGCATCGGAGGCAGGAGAGCACACTCCGCTCGGCTCGGCTCGGCACTCGCCGCGATTAGAATCCGCGTTTTCCAACCGGTAGCCACCTGCTGCACCTAACAGCGATCGATCGAATCGGTCGAACGCGCAACCGGGGGAAAGGGGGGAGGATATTCAATGGGAGAGCACCGCTTTCTCCGCCGCCGCCGCGGCGAGCAACGGCGTTCGATCTTCGCGGGGATCGACGGCTCGCGAGTTCTCGGCTCTTTCGGATCGATCGACCGGAATGAGATAAAAGGCCGAGCGAATCGCGCGGATTATCTCGCTCGATCCGAGATCGTCGGCCGCGCGACGATCGCGTCGGTGATTGCTAATTCCCGGAGCGGGGCCCCGTTAATAAGGCGTTTCCGAGGATCGATCGGCTCGTTATCGTCGGCGAAGCAGAGTTCCCTCGGCTGTGTGGAACGGTCCGCGGGCTTTTCTACGCTGCGAGCTGGATTTCGTGCGCCGTGTAACGTTCTAATGGCAGGAAATGCAAACGCGGCGAGGCGCGGCGAGCGCGGCGCGACGAGGAGCGGAGAGGATTGGCGCACGAACGTACGCGAGGCGATAAAAAGAATATCGGTCAGTGACTTTCGCTCGAGCCCGCTGCTCCGACAGCCAGACGGCTCGGCTTGGCTCGCGAATGATATCGTTTCCTGATTTATCCGGGCACAGTCTGATTACCATTCGAGCCGATTCCCCGCCGAGACGGGAATTACTTTTCATTCCGTCGCGGGAGATGGGAATCGGGGGCGACAGAGCCGCTATCTCGCCGCTATCTGTCCGCTGCCACGGAGTTAGGCTCGCTCGGCAAAGGGTGCCGGCACCGTGCTCGGGAAATATTGCACCGGGAGAGCTCGAAGCAATCTCTCGGAGCTGTAAGCCGCGCGGAAGCTTTCTAAAGGCTCGAGCGGACGCGGCAGAGACGCGGCGGGCCCTCTGAAAGGAGGATGCGAGGAGACCGCAGCCATGCTCGCGGAACGCCTAATTTATATAACGCTACTCTACTCGGCCGGGTCGATCCCTTTTCTCCTTCCGCGCGACGCGACACGGCTCGGCTCGGCCCGGCTCGGCGCGACGCGGCGCTCCAGTGAAAGTGAGCGCGAACAGCCGCGGCGAACTGCGGCGTCGAGCAGAGTCGAGCGGATAACCGGCGCGGCGGATACGCGCGATAAAACGATCGCGAACCGAGCCAAACTCGTTTCTCCGCCGGTCGACTACGATCCCTCGGAAACCCGTTCGTTTTTTCGCTACGGCTACGTGTGTCCGGCCGGCCGTCCGCCGGACGGTTACGAGGGTGACATTTCGCGAAAACCTGCGCGCCCGGATCGCGTCCGCTTTCGAAAGACAACCTGTTCGCGATAGCAACGTTTTAGTAGCCGCGGAGGAACGCGGGGAAGGCGATGGCCACTTTGCTGCGGCTGATCGATTTCAAAAATTCATTCGGCTCTCGCGGTTCTCCGAGGGAAAAGCCTCGCGCAACTTTAAACGAGTCATCGTCGCACCGTTAATACGCGTTCATGCGATTACTTGAAAATTCATGCGATCCTATACGAGCTCGTCGAGTCAGCAACGCTCGTCGACGCAAATTTACCTCCGTCTACTAATTTCGTATCGCATCGATTTGTGGAATTTGAGACCTGCGGTTATATTATCTTTTCGTATTTGAACTCTGTATCGCGAGTCATTCTAAACCTTTTCTATCGTAACTTTTTTAACCAATGGATAACTTTCACTATATATCCAATAAATAAATAAATTTGGAAACACGCAATATGTACCGAGACGGGATGACTGGCAGCAATTGGCAGCCTGGCCGTGGGTTAAACTCGTCCGACTCTGGCTGGCACGTTCTGCTTCGCCGAGAAATTGCTTCTTCGATAAGAAAAAGGGTTCGCGCGACGCGAGGCAGGGGGGCGAAGGGGGTAGGGAGGGTCGAGAAGCGATAATGAAACGAACGCTTATCGAAACGAGACTGTTCGGCGGCAAAGGGTTAAAAGGGCACTTGCTGGGTCGAACTCGGACAAAGAAGAACGAGGAAAGGCGGCCGCAATAAGAAGCAGCAACTTTCCACACTGTTTCGATCGTAATTGGCCGCGGGGGCGGGGCGCCGGCCGGGGGGAGGGCCGGCTCCTCTTACGGTTAATTGCAAAAACGCGCGGCGTAAAAGCCTCCTAAAAGAGAAGGTCGTATTTCACGTGGAAAGTTTAACGTCCACCGGCCGGTGGCGCTTTAAAGCGTCCGCTTTATTGCTTTCCCGCGGCTCGCCAGTGTTCCCCGGCATTTTTCTTTGGAACTTCAAACGGACGTCAATGACTCCCTATCGCTCTCCCACGGGCTTTTCTTGCCCGCGCATCGGAACACGGGGCTGCTTTTGCATTGCTAAACGGGAGAGCCTCCTCGCGGAGATTAAAGCGCGATTAAAGCCCGCGGAGAATCGGGCCGGAGAGGAAACGCGATCCTTGAATATTTCCTCGGTTAATTACAGGCGTGCGCGGCGACGGAGCGCTTTTCATTCGGCGGCCCGGCGAACAGTTAAGTAACGACCACTTTCACTCATTTCCACGAACATTTGCCCTCGCGTCTCTCTCTCTCTCTCTCTCTCTCTCTTTAGTAGCGCCGCTGGAATACGCTTCCTCCCTCGTTTCCTATGGAAATTCACAGGCTCGCGGGACCACGAAACTCCGCGGGCATCTTCTCACGTTTTTTAGGACTTTCGACCGAAAGGCGGCGCTGTCTCTCCGATCATTTCGTCCTCCGATCGTAGCTACGAGAGAACGCGGCTGCTTTCCACGCGAGCATTTCCCCGGCTGGTTCGCTCTCTTTTCACAATCCTCCGAACCCGGTCCCCCGTCCGGCCGAGAAATAATTATTTCGAGCAGTCCCCACCGCCCTCCTTCGTCGTTCGTTCGTTCGTTCGACTCCGCATCTCGCCTAGACGCGTCGAGGAAACACAGCACCAGTCGCCGGGCCGTTTTATGCTCTGAATATTCCCGGCCACTGTGCGAGAATTAACCTACCGTGCCAGAAAGCACACTACCTTACTTATCTCGGCGAGTGCGTCCTGCACGAGACGTTTAACCCTCATACGTTCCTTGGAAGTAGTTGCTCCGCGGCTACGAGCACGGAGAACTCGCGGATTCCGATGCGTTGCGAAACGGACCTTTTCTTCCCGATGCTGGTACGACTTCCTACGAGCGTCGGACGCGAACGGTTGGGAAAGGATTAGACGCTTGCGATCGGACGGAACGTCCACGCGCGACTAATATTTTCTATCAGCGTCGCGGACGATTTGCGTCAGACGCGTTCATTATTTCCAGTGTATCGCCGTCGATCGGATAGAACGGTGTGCACGGAGAAGGCGAAATAACTTTTTCGGAATGCATCGAAATTTACTTGCACTTTCGCCGCTGTTGCGAGAAGAAGATGACCGAGACATTTTGCAAAAGGAAAGAGGACGCGTTTACCGAGCGACGAGGAGACGCGTAGGCAGCTTTTTTTTAGATCGAGCGAAGAACGAGTCAACTTTGTCTTAGCTTCTTATCGGCAATAATCGATTGCACATTTTTGTACGTAAAGCACTAAGGAACCACGTTGGAACGAACAACGCTGCGCTTGCGTCCGGACAGCTTCGGAAACAGACGATCGTCGGACGCATACCTCGAACGTGAGCGCAACATTTGGAAATCGTTGCTAGGAGAACGGAAGCGTTCTTCTCCGTTGCATCGGTACTTATGAACGCGTCTGACGCTCCTAGGAAATCCCGTCTGAATCGTAACTCGAGGGAGGAGTCGATGAGTCAAAATCCGAGGATTCGGTGTTCTCGGAAACGCGGACCGGAATCCGGATGACTAAACGTACGGCGAAGGTGCTCGCAAGGATACAGCAGCCGAACTCGAAGGAAACGGAGTGGAACGGCGGCGATCTGCTCTGTTCGGGTACGGCGAGCGTCGTGCGGCTCTGACATTTAAATGTCACACGTTGCGAGAGAGCGCGGAGAACAGGGTTCTTTAAACGGTTTAAAGAAGGGGACGGTTTCGGGGCGGCCGGAGGCGCGAGCGAAGGCGTCGCGTCGAAATCCACGGCGGATAATGGATAGCCGAGAGCGGATCGACGCGGAATAAATGGTCGCGGATATCGGCCGCGGCGCGGGCGCGGGATAATCGCGCGCGCGCGCGGCGATAACATATGTTCGAGCGGGCGTTTATCGCGCCGGATACTCCTCGCCTCGTTTTTCAGCGGGCGCCGCGATCGACGGCTCGTTCTTCGTTGCCCGACGCCACCAGATTTCCGAGAGCGGGCGTCGATCGCCGCGCGATCGATCGGGCACCCCTCGCTCACCGATTAATCTCCGCGCACCTAATGCGGCCGCGGCGACGCGACGCGCTGCCGCCGACGGAGAGTACCTCGACGAAGGCCTCGACGAATCACTGCCGAAAAACGCACCGCACTCGGTCTCGAAGCAGACCCTTTGGCACTCGTCCGAACTTTCACGTTTCATCCATCTCGCACAGACACTCGCGCGACGACGATCATCCGCGGGCACTCTCGACGAACATGGTCGCTCGAGGAAGCTTCGGAGAGCCGAGGAACGCGAGCGAGCGCGGCTGGCTAGCTGACTGGCCGGTCGGTTGTCAGTTATTGTCCGCGGCCGCTTTCGAACTGACACGCGGTGCAGCAGCGCGAAGAAAGGCGCGGGAGAGCCGCTGCGAGCTGAGAGCGGCGAGCGGCGAACGGCGAACGGCGAGCTGTAGGACATCGAACGCTAGAGAAGGGGAACGAGCCGGGGAACGGCCGGACTCGGGCCTCACGGACACCCGATAGATAGACACGGTCCGCTCAGGGTGTGACTTCGACCGTCGCCTTCTTCTTCCTCTTCGAACGGCCAGACCTATCGCTCTCGCCGGACTCGCTGATTTTCCGCCGGGTCTCCGCTTTCCGTCGCTCGCCTCGCCAATCCGCGCGCGGACAGCCGATAAGTTTAGCGCCGCGGCCCTCGGCGGCCGAGTCGCGCCACGCGGCTCAAAGTTCAAGGACCAGAGCGGCTAAACTCGGATCGGCGGAAGATCGCGGCGGTCGATATCAATTTTCCCGGCTGCTCGAGGAAAAGTTCGCGATTCCCTTTCTCGCAGGCCGCCGTCGAGCTCTCGGCAAGGGTTCGAAGGCTGTCGGGAAACCCGGGGTTCGAATCCTGTTATCGAGAGAGAAATTACGTTTCGGGAGCACCGATGAGGGTCGGCGATATATTCTATGTTATGGGAGTGGAGAGACCAGCTCTCGACGTCGTCGCGAGCTCCGAGCCGATAGCGAAGCCTCTTAAGAATTCTTCGGGGAACGCGGCGCCGGGAACGATGAAACTTTCGAGAATTACGAGGCTCGCCACGGAAACTAGGAACTGTTGCGCGGCGATGTGGGCCAGGTGTAAATTAAGGTACGAACGTTTGGTCGTTCGTGACGCAAAGAGCCGGCCCGGCGCGTTCCGATAGGGCGATGTCGCGCGTTCTGCCCGGCCGCGTGAATATTCATAAGCGCATTAACCTTGATCGGGACAATAATGGGACACGCGATACGGCGAGAGGCTGGGCCTCCGGTTCGGGGCCTTGAAAAGGTTGCGATCGGCCGGCGAGGCTCACGGATCGCCAGCCACGACGATGACAATGATTACGAAATTACAGGCGGCTCGGTGCGGAGCGGAGCGGTCCGCTTCGGGAGAGCACGCTTTACCGAGCGTGAACGTAAATCGATCGTGCACGCGGTTTCGGTTCCATGCGAATAGCGGCCCGTCGCGTCGATCGGCTTTCGTGCCACGAAATCGGAGTCTCGATCGCTGGAAAGCTGCTGCTTTCTCTCCCACGGGAAATATCGATTTGTTCGCCAAGGGAGACCGAAAAGAAAAGCGGAACCCGTAACGATACGTTCGGCGGGTTTCGAACGGCCGAGACCCGTTTCACGCGAGAGGCTGCTTTTGTATCGCGCGGCACCGCGATACGCCAATGTTTCTCTAATTGACGCTCGGATTGTCCAGAAAAGTGGACAATTTGGTAAGAGGAGATACGATTATTCGATCTTTACGGTTCATTTTTATAGTCACGAATTGTCAACAACTATAAAAACGTGCTGCAAGGCTCGAATAATCGTATCTTCTCTTCCCAAATTGTCCATTTTTGTACGCAATCTGAGCCTCAGTTAGGGAGACTCGCTGCACTTTTTCTCGCGGCGAACGCTGTAAAAAGTGGTAGCCATTGGCTCTATTTAAATTGCAATTGTAATGAAAACAATATCGCATTCTCAAATTTCAAGACGTTAAGAATACTTTGAAGCCAGGTCAGAATGAAACGAGCAAATAAAAGATATGAATAATTGCATGAATAATTCACGATACTGGTGCTCGACGAGCAGAGTGCCATTATGCATCGTTTCTCCTGCGTTTTACGTTTATTGCGTATGCACTATATGTTGATGTTGAGTGAATACGTAAATATTAGCAATAAAATTGTCAATTTTATCGAATAAAACCGTCTCTTTGATCCAATGTTTTAACAGCGACGCTTGCTCTGTGTTCGACGAGTATACTCGTCGCCGCTCGACTCTGAAAAGGAGCCGGCGGCACAGCCAACTGATTAACAGCTCGCAAATTTTGTCGATTGTTTCGCATCCGCGCGAGAACATCGGATCGATTCGTCGGATCGAATCGGATCGGATCGGATCGGGCTGAAAGGACAGCGATCGGGGTTCGGTTCTGGATTAAAAAAAAAACATCGAGCCGCGACGAGAGGTTGCGGGCGACGACGCCCGATTGTGCTCGGAGCCGCGGGTAACTGGATCACAAAACTCGAGTGATGCAATTTCACGGCACGACGCGCCGAGCACCGGCGAGCACCGCCGAACGGAGCCAAGCCGTGCCGCGCTTTATTTTCCGTGTGCTAAATATTTTCCAACGGAGGCGACACACCGATTACGCCGACCGCGAGGAACGACACCGTCTTTCTTTTATTTTTTGCGAGCCGCGCGTTAATCAGCCACGGCGGACAAAAAGAGACGCGACAAGCGGATTCCTATGCAAATCGGCCAGGAAATCGCTTACCGGTATGCAGAATCGTCGGTAATCGCGATAAGTGGGTCGCGAACTTCTCCGCGCCGAGCCCGACCAGATTCCGGGCCAGAAGCCGAGGATTTTTGCCGAAGCGGAGAGATACCTTGCCACAATTTTAACGAGCGTAATTGAAACACGGTGTCCGCAAGTTTCCCGGAACTTTATGTCGCCGGGCTAAACCGAAAGGAATACGAAACAGGCTCGCCGATTAACGCGTTAACGAGCTTCATAAGCCCTTTTATAGGGCAGGTTTAAAACACCGGGTTTACGGAATCCGTCAAAACGTCGGATCATCGATTCGTTAATTTACGATTATTCGATAAACGTAAGGACACGTTCATCGGTTATTTACTCGACATATTGCATGCTTCGTTGCAACAACCCCCTGTCAAAATTAGAATAAGTGTCTTATTTTATATATTTATTTTGTAAACTGATATAAAACAGCTGCTTTTAAATCTAGCGTTGGTCCAGTAAATCCGATGATAATCTTGCGAATTTTCTGTCAATGTACAGTAATGTCTCCCTAATTGACGCTCTAATTGTCCACAGAAATGGACAATTCTGGTAGTGGAGATACGATTGTTCGATAGCCTTGCGGCTCGTTTTTTATGGTTATCGACTATAAAAACGAGCTGCAAGGCTCGAACGATCGTATCTCCTCTTCCGAAACTGTCCATTTTTCTGCACAATCTGAGCGTCAGTTAGGGAGACATTACTGTACACTGGGGACAAGGCGAGGAAGAACCATCGCCGAGGACAGAACTTTAAATGTATGTAGTTCTCTGAAAAGCGAACACCGCCGGAGCCGAATGGATATACGAAGCCGCGAACAGTTTCCGTGTGGCGCACACTGTATAAGCGTATACTGTATACGGATCAAGCGGAAGCGAGCGTTATAACAGGAAGGCGCATCATCCGATGCGCCATTGTTCGAAGATCACGGTTGAGCAACGTTCAGGGACGCGCGCCGTTGTTGGACACGTTTTATTCCGATACTCCTGTTTCTTCTAATGCCCCGTTAGCCGGCGAAGAAATTGAAACCTGTCGATTCGCTTTAGCGGTTTAAATCGTCGCACGTCGCCGTCGTCGTCGTCGGAATCGCGGTTACAGCCGCGTTGTATAACAGTTCGTTGCATTACCATATTTTGTAACATTCCAAGCTCGACGAATTAGAGGCAGAGAGAGAGAGAGAGAGAGAGAGAGAGAGAGAGAGAGAGGGAGAGGGAGAGAGAGAGCCGGCCCGGTCCGATCGTAAGGTTTCCGAGTGCCTCCGGTCTTCCAGCGGGGCTTTCAGCGCGCGATTCGTGTCGCTGGTTGATCCGACGTTCGTTTAGATTCGTTGCGCTATGCTGTCCGGAACCATTTCGTTTACCGAGTGCAAGCAATCTTTGTTGGAAAGTTCGAACAACTTTTGTCGACCGTTCTGCCATCCTGGAAATTTCTACCCGAATGCTTTTCGACGTTTCGCTTTGGATCTATAGAATTTAGTCAGATTCAATTGCATATATTGAATACGGACGTCGTATTAGTTTCAATCGAATATTTATTGTACCATTGATATTTCTCGTAGTATTTCTGTAGCTTGTTAATCTCTCGAGTCAATTTCATATACGTAAAATGCATTTTGTCATATGGAATAAAAATAGCTTCGAGTGCAAAGGGTTAAATCCTTCTCCACCGATCCGTAAACGCCGCTGGATCGCGTCGAGTGAAAACACTTTTTCGAAACTTCTCCCAGGGAAGCTGTAAAGTATGTTGCAATCGATACCTCGTAATCGAACCTATCCAAGTCAGCTATCGGCCGTAGCCGAGTCGCGAGCGGCGCCGTGAAATCGATAACGTTGCCAAAGAGAGACGGGGAGAGAGAGAAACGAAGAGAGAGAGAGAAACGAAGAGAGAGAGAAAGAGAGAGAGGCGAGGCTGGCCGAGCAGAGGAAGAGAAAGAGAGACACGGCCAGGGAATAACAAACAAGCTTGTCCCGCCATGAATTGGATTCTACGCGAACGCCGACTCTTATTTGACTTTTGCTCACGCGATCCTAGCCGCGGGGGCCCCGCGATCTATATGTAGAAACGAGCCAGGATCGAGCGACGGAGATCCGCGACATTTAAACGCGACTCGTACGTCGCCGTAATGTCCCCGATAAACTCGAACGTCGCGCGGCCCAATCGATCGAAAGGAAATTCTGACGTCGAACGATGAAATCATTCGCTACACTGTTTCAAACAGAATTCAAGACTTACGTACGTATTACTTGATATAATAGCGCAACGTTCTTATCACAGTCCGTAGAGATTCGTCGTATTAATTTCAGGAATATTCTTAAATGTCCAGGAATATTTCTTATTTAACTCTGTACAATTTATTTAACTCTTGCGCCAAAGGGATTTTCCTGCGAATAAATAAATGAAACGAAATAAAATGAAATCGCTGAATCGCGAATCTTTGTGCAAAATGAAAACTGTATTTGCGAATTGCAACAACCAGCAGTCAGGCAGAGAGCGCCTTCCTTCTTTAACAATTACAGGAACTGCTCGTTGTTTTGTCAGCAGTTTAATTAAAATCTGCATTAAA